TTTTGTGTACAAGTCCAAGCCAGAACTACCCTGGAAGGAAGTACTTAAGAGACAAGCACTGGTAGTAAAATGACAGACCAGAATAAAAAAAAATAATCCACAAGATCATACCTCAGGGACCAGCCCTCAAGGGATACTGAGTATCCAACTAATTGCCTTTCAGCAAGATCTCCTCCCTCTGCATGCTACATTGTTTTCTCAAAACATACATGTCCATTTTTGACAATCTTAACAAAATGAGCACGGTGTAGAAGTAAAGAATGGGAAAAAACACTCCATACAGTCTACACCTCATGTAAATTCACTCACAGAATGACCTCGGGCAGGCTAGCAGATACTATAACCACAGACAAAACCACCTCCAATTCTAAGACAATGACATACACATTTCTGGCAAGCCATGTCAAGATGCTGATCTGAAAACCAATCGGATGCCCAAAACTGAACCAGACAGGAACTCTGGTAGGAGCCTGTAACAAACTAGCTATGGGATGCAACAGCAGCAGTTTGCAAGTCAATAGGTTTGGAAGAGGTATTTTCTTGCTCTCTTCAGGCTTCCCAACTAATGGCCATCTCTTCCCTCACGACTCTTAACACAAACTTGTCTGCATGATGAAATGAGGATCTTTTACCCCTGTTCTCCAGGACTGTCAGCACGCATGTAAACTGTTAGCCAAGGAATGCAACTGCTTACTGGTGCCAGCAGAAACCCCCACCTAGGACTAGTTCAGCTCCAGTGGGTGAAGGAGGGCTATCCTCTATGCTCAGGCATAAGCAGACTCCATTCACCTTGGCATTTGCAACAGCACATAAGTAGATGGCCAAAAACAAACAAAAAAAATCCCCCACACAGGCAGCAAGAGATTGCAGAAAGCCACCACTACACTTAAGACTTGTAAAACAGTGGTGGAGAAAGCACTGGACAACAAAGAGCAGAAAGGGGGCTTGTTTGACAATACAATGAATTGGGCTGAACTCTAGTGAAAGTTAAGAGACTGCTGGGCTAAGAAATCACCTGTAATGTAACAGGCAGAGCGACATACCTGGGATTCTTTTCTCCTGCTCAGCATCTCTCTGAAACATAAGTCAGAATCTGACTTAATTTTGATCAGCTCTTTGCCTCAGCAGATCACCGCTGGCTCAGCTTGACTTTCTGAGTTATCTGGGAATCTAAAGCATTCACAAGCAAAGTCTAAAGAGAGGGTGTCAGCTTAAACCTGGAACATGGAAATGCTACACCAGGGACTGGCCTGTTTAGACTGTTTAGCCTGTTATTTTTGCTGGCGGGAGAAGCAAATTAGAGATTTTTAAATCTGTACACTCGCTTCCAATAAAATAATGATGATGATGCTTTCCTAACAATTAACGTTGCTGTTCCTACTTGGCAAACTGCTTCTGGATGCAGAATGGGCATTCCCCTTCTTGCAGAGCAAAACATGCACAGATTTGATTAAGCAACAGAACAGGAAACCAGATGAACTCAAACAGCAAGCATGAATTGAGACCAAATCTCCTGGGGAACACCTGCAGCCTCTCAGACCACAAAATCCATTTGCTGCCCTCCTATAACGACACCATCCAGGTTGTTTGGATTTTGGTTGTTTAGGGTTTTTTGGGGGGTGAGTTGGGTTTTTTTGTGTGCATGCAAGAATGCTAGTGCTGCCAAGAGGAGAAAGTGATCACTCACGTTTATGATAGAGCCAGACACTAGTGCAGTGCAGAACGCCAAGGAACTTGTGTGTTTAGCTCTTTGGTATGCTGCTGTGCAAAGCTCTTAGCTAGCTCACATCAGGCTTTCAAGCAACTTTGAGGACCGATAACAAGTTGGTCCAGTAGACAATACCCAAAGGGCTGAATGAGCTCCAAGAAACACCCAATACAAACTTCAACACTGCACAGGCTGATGAAAATTAAGAATCTGAGCAAAGAGCAGCATGAAGTGTATATCATTAAACAGCGGGGTAAAACTAAGACTGCTCTGCAAAGGACTGCCACAAACATTAACCCTTTATCAAGGAAGGAAGCAAACCCCTTTCCTCACAGTTAGACTGCTTACAATTTACTAAAGTCACAGTCTGAAGAAGTTAATGGATAAAATCACTCTATTTTGTTCACTCAGCTGAGAGACCTTTCTATACTTGCCAGCATTATTTTACATGCACTGGCAAGCGCTGTTGGAAGGTGCGCTGGTGCTGTCAGAATCCAGGAGAAAGCTTCAATTACAACTTCCAGCAAAGTCAACATCAGCAAGCCCCTCCAGAGCCATACCAACCAGATTTCCAGCCCTAATCTAGGCAAGGCCTGAGATAATGAGAGACTCAGGGTGACACATGAGCCCAATGCAAAGTCATCCGAGGCCAGAAAGGGACCTGTAATGGCAGTCCAAAAGCTTCAAAGCCACATTATTCTCACAAAAATCTGCATGTATGTTGAAATAGGGAGGTCAACACTTTATCCATCTGAATAGATCCATTATGTCCAATGTCTTTCACACTTCTCATAACACAGCATTACCTGCCCCTAACACAGAGGTTGTTGAGGGCAAGATCCAGCTCCTCATGTTGTAAATCACTATGGAACTGGCCAATTTTGCTGTCAGCTCAACCAACAGTCATGACCAAATTGCCCAATAGCTAGGAAAGGACTGACCAACATACATGAGACACAGATAAATCATCTCAGTTTGAGTAGTTTTCTGTTTAAATATCTGTTTTTTCCTAACACTTAAGCTGTATCTCAGATTTAAGATTCCAACAGAACTTGAAAGACGACTGGAGAACTAGCTCATTCGATCACTGGCTCTCTCTGCAACTGCCCCTCTAGGGATTGTCACATGAACTAGAGAAACATCTCCATCTCACAAGCATGCTGCTGTTTCACTTTTAGCACTGCACATTATCAGACAAGCAAAGCAAGGCCAAAGTGCTTAACATCATAGCATTTTTCTTCTTTAAACAAACTTCTGAAGCTGTCTAATCAATTTCAAGGACTTCACAAGAATGTTGCTGGCATCAATGTGAAAAAAAAAATCCACTTACACCGGCAGCATTTTTTTTTTAATGAAGAAAACGTGAATGTGAAATAGAGAGAGGATCACCCATAGTGACACGGTTAGTCATTACCTTGTCCTTCTCACAACTTCCAGGCTTCAGTCATGCTGACAGGGTTCAACAGAGAAAACAAGCAAAAACTGAACTTTGCCAAACATAGGACTGCAGCATAAAGCCTTGTTCCGCACAGAGAGCTATGCTGCCATGACAAGGAAAACCCCTAAATACGGTAGTACTGTGGTTCCACCCTGCATTTGGTGTAGTCCTTTGCTCTAACAAAAGCTCGCCACCGTTGAAACTTCTCAGATATATTCAGCTGCAAAACTGAAATCCAGTTCAGAATCCCACACAGGATCCCACACTTGCACTTCCAATACCCCTGCAAGATCTTATTTGAGAACTACTAAACTAAACAGTTGATTTGTGTCATCAGGTATCAAGTGACAATACTTTGGTTTGTCTTCAACAGCACCTAGGCAGCATCAAGAGGAGCACGCAACAGAGATGCAACTGCTCAAAAGATGCAGAGAAATGGTCTGCACTACTCAGCAGCAAAATGGACTCCAACGGATTTGTCTGAGATGCTTGCACAAGCATCGGGATGGAGATCACTTCTCTGCCCTACCAACAATGGTTCAGCACATGCTTCTTTGCTAAACGTTGACTTACAAAGTAAATCTGCAAGAGACAGGGAAACCTACTGGTCAGAACAACCCTCACATCTGGGAAACTTCTGCTCTACTCCATCACAGGATCCTCATACACTTTTGAGCTTGTCACCCTGCCTCAGCTTACCACTCCTTTCTCAACAGGCTTACAAGGGGGTGGGGAAGGAAGCAGCTTTTCCCTTCCTCACAGATATCTGAAGATATGCATTGAAAACACCTTCATCATAGCCCAGACAAGTCCGTATGAACACAATGACAAGTAACTACATTCTATTTACGCAGACTGAGCACTTTTCTGAAGCATTTTCGCTGTATCTGTTCAATGATGAATCCACCTCTCCGTACAGGCATAAACTCCGAGTCCTCATCTCACTTGCATTCAAAATTTTGACAGAAATAAAAGAAGAAAAGCACGACACGTGCACAAAAGAGCCAAATACAAGAGCTGAATCCACCCAAATCACAAGATGGTTTTAAAAATACAGCAGCCTCCAGGCGTTACCACAATCCCCCACTGCCGAGCGAGCGCAAGGCGGCTGCACTCCGCCTCCCTTCCCTAAGCAATGGTTTGTGCTAGCGGAGACCCTCGCCGGAGGCCTCTGCCCTGCGGGCCGAGCACCAGGGCTGGCCCCGCAGTGCTATTGCTCCCCCCGCTCGGCCGCTGCTCGGCGGCCCCTAGCCCTACCCGCCGAGAGGCCCGCTCCGCTGCTGACCCGGAGGCAACCAGGGCAGGCCGCCCCCAGGGGACGAGAGACCGAGGGGCGCCACCACGACAGCCGTTAGGCCCCGGCAACCCCGCACCCCCCGGCTCCTCCCGCTGCCGTTACGCTGCCGGATGTCCCCCTCCCATCCAACAAGCCACACCGCCGGGCGACCCCGAGCTGCGCTCCCGGCCGGGGCCGCGGGCGGGACAGCGCCAGCCGCCCCCCGCCCCCCTCAGGACCGCGCTGCTCGCCGTCACCCAGCGGCGGCAGTGGTATCACACAAAGCCCCCGGGCAGCGCTTCTCCCCCAGCCCCGCGACACGGCGGGGCAGCCCTCCTCGCCCGGCGCAATGCCGGCGCAGGAGTTACCTGCCGGTAGCGGCGCGGGGAGGCGGCGGGGCGGGGGCCGGACGGCGCTCAGTGCCGGCGGCGGCGCCCGCTGCGCTGCATGGCTGCGCCCGCCCCGCTGCCACGGGAAGAATGGGAGCCAGCACGCCTGCGCGGCACCGCCCTGCGCCTCTAGCAGCCTCCTGGGCCCGCAGCACGCATGCGCCCACCGGCCGCCCCCTCCGAAAGGACCATAGAGAGTGAGCCGAAGGCTAGAGAGGACGCGCCTCCCGCGGGTCTCTATGGTAGGTGGTGGAAGCCTCCACAACTCGGCGGCGGTGAGGTCAGCGGGCGCACTGCGCATGCACTGGGGCGGTACCTTCGCGGCACGCCCTCCGCGGCCGTTACAGGCGGGCTCGGTTGCCAAGGCGACGCTGGTGGCGGCTCGGCGGGAGCCGTTGGGCTGACGGGGCCGGCGGCGGTTCGCTGAGGGAAGGGAGATTAACGCTTCTGCAGGGACAGAGGGCAAGGAGAGGCTCGAACCCCAGTCCTGCCGGATTAGCCTCAGCGGAAGGCTCCGGGAAGCACAGCACTTGTGGGCAGTGGGTGAGAAGCTTGAATGCTGTGAAAGCAATTCCTGAGGCTGGGGCAGGGAGACCTTTGGGGCCAAGTGTTGCCGTGTAGAAAGAAGCCTGGAGCTGCATGTCAGTGCGCAGCCCCTGCTTTTTACGATTTCCTATTGAGGGAATCTGTTTCGTGCAGACTTAATTAAAAAGCAGCATTTAAAAGCATCTTTCTCCTACGTGGAATAGTTGTAGCGCTCCTAACTCTGTGACTGAGGTGAAAATAGAAAACAAATTCCCTGTGCACAGGCTCTTTACTAAGGCCTGGTTGACTATCTTCTTCCCTAGGCTTGTGACTGCTTCTTGTGTTGGTTGTAGGGAACCTTCATTTCACCTCAGACACCCCCAGCCACATCCATCCTCTGTGCTGCAGGAAGCCATTGACCTTCATAAGGTGGTGTACCATTGCAGTTTGCAACAAGTATATAGGCCAAGCCATCAGAACTGTTCATATGCAAGACTGAATGTGGAAAGAATTGGCTCATTTTCAGTCATACCTTCTCAAAATAACAATGCCCTTCTTCACGACTCATGGTTTTGGCATAGGAATGGCTTTGGCAAACCTCCTCCAAAGAATACTGAATTTGCTGATTTCTTCTTTTCCACCATCAAGTTTCAGAGCAATACCTAATTGCTCCTTTGCATGAAGGAATCCACATAGGTTGAACCTAGAATGTGGAACAGGCTGCACAGATGTTAAGAGAAAGCTGGGGATATGAGTGCTTAAAAGGATGGCAGACCTGTGTAAACTGACAGCAGGAAATTACAAAACAGCTTTAGAAGTTATCATGGTTCTTGCCCCAGAGGCCTCTTGAGACCCCTAAATGCCTAAGTACTGCCTACAGCAGAGACACAACAGCTCAGCTTCACCGGATCTGGTTTTCCCATCCCCACACTCTTTTCCCTGTGAGCTAAAAGGAGGGATAGCCCCTGTGCAGAGTCCTCTCCCTCCCAAGCTGTGCAGTTCTGCAACCAGGAGTTGAGTCATTCACCCCTCTCTTGTTTTGCAGTCTCTCAACGGCAGCTGATGACTAGGTAGGATCATCAGTGCATTAATAAAGAACCAGTTATCCCACTTCAGCTGAATCCATCAGGACTACAGGAAAAGTTTGCTCAGATAGTCTAGATAGTTCTCTCTGTGCTACCTAAAATACCATCATATTCCGTTTTGAGAAAAAAAAAAAAAAAAAGAGATAAAAATGGAACAAATAGTTGAATTAGGAGAAGCGATATTATTTAGCTTTAGTAAGAAGCCAGTAACTGTGCATTACACATTTGTCATGAATTCATTCTTTTCAGTGTTACAAAAAAGAGGCCCTTGGAAATCTCTCAATACTGCCTTCCAATATAATTGCGGGTTTTTTTACACAGATTCTTACTTCTGGTGATTTGAGGGTCACTGGGAGTCTAAAGCTTCATACAGAAATACTGAGAGATGCAGTGGTCTTGGGTTTTAAGTACTTAAAAGTAGGCAGTGAAGGCACTCTTCTGATCCTTGCCCTTTAGGTTTCTTAAAATTAAATGCTAGTGCATATAGTATTGCTCTGTATCACCCACTATATTGCACACTTACTTCATCCTGCTTTCTTTAACAAAACACTGCCTTTTCATGGGTATTTTATTTTTAAGAGTCTCACAACATTTCAGAGGAGGCTCTTGGTAATACTGTGAAGTCCATCAGCTTTCACAGGGACATCAATCTGCATTAATTCTAACACCATCTATGGCAGACCTCTGCATACATTGCCTGTGACAGTTCTCAGTGGAAGCCCACCACTGAAGGCAGGTCAAGGTACCCCAAGGGCAACCAGATCAAAGGTGCCGTATGGAATGCAGTCTGCATGGGTATTCCAGCTTCTCTGAAGTCATAGTTAGGTAATGACTGTGCTACCTGTAACCAAGTCTTAGGGTGCAGAAAAGACTCTCTAAATGAAGAAAAGAGCAGTAGCTGCTAGAGGAGCTGCTACCATCACACATGGCTGCTGAACAAGGACTTCACCTCCAGTGGTATAACAGCAAACATTTGGCAATATCCTTATAAATAACATACCTAAATAAAGGTGCTTCTTACTGTGCTCTCACTTCTGAGAGATCTCCATTTACTTACCTGCCTCACACGTCAATCTCCAACACAGACAGACTAGTGCAGCAGAAAGGTAGGAACATCCATCTCCTGAGAGGATACTGTTCCTGGTGAAGCAGCACGTATCTCTCTAATCAGTCCACCTGCAAAGCACACTGTTCTCTGCTTGTTGAAAAGGTCTGGAGGTGTGTACCAATACATGTGCAAAACAAAGCACAGTCCATTTGCAAGAGGAAATGGGATCAGCTTACAGGTATCAGTGAGGGCACAGAAAGCTCCAAGAAAGGGCAAAGTAAAGCCAGAAAGCTTTTTTTTTTTAAATAAAGGGATGCATTTAAATAAAGGATGCAATCCTTTTTAAATAAAGGATTGCTTTCGTTTAGCAACCCTAGTCTTTCAGAAAAACAGATGAATAAAACAAAACTACTGGAAAGCAAAAGGATGGACTGGGAGGAAGAGAGGCTCTCTTTCAGCAAAAATACCAACCCTACCTGAGTGACCTGCTCTTCTCCCTTCCTCAGGGCCCTTTTGCACAACATCTGCTTGGGAATCTGAGGGCCAAATGCACCAAGGAGAAATGCATTCATATATGAATGACAGGATGATGATGTAGCTGCCTATGACAGCAGGGGATAGCAGCATCATAGCCTGGCTGTCCATGAATTGCTTCCCTAAAGTTAGTTGAGCACACCACCATGCAGATTTAGAAAGGTGTGTTTCCTTTATGACTACTTGTGTGGCTAAGGCGGAGAAGAACTCTCAACTCGATGTCGCTCCCTTTGGCATCTCCTGGCACTTAGATCTCCTGCACACATCACCTGAACAGATTTGTGCAGTGCTAAGGAGAAGGCTGGACTGCTGCTGGCACAGAGACAAACAGCATGGGTGAAGCCCAAGTATCCAGCTTCTGAGAGCCATCGATCCCACTCTGGCATGGACTCACCTCCTCTACCCCTTACTAACCCTACCTGTGAAACAGGGAACAATCTCTTTGTCCATCCTGTGCGAGAACAAATACTTGAAACAGGGAAAGCACTAGCTACTTCAGCTCAACTTTGAACTTGATAATTCTTCGTTCTTTCCTTTGCACATGACCGTTGTCACAGGCCTAGATTCAAGCACTCTCAACTCAGACGATATGCTCCTGCACTGCTATCTTTAATTGGCACTTTCCTGCCAAGCCTCAGCATTTTGCGGTGGGCTTTTTCCACATGAGAGCTAGGCAAACAAAGCAGCCTGCTGACCCACTTAGCTCTCATGTGAAGGCACATGAAGCTTCGCTTCAGTCACCAAACAGAAAACAAAATGCGAGAGCAGAAGGTTTTGATTGAAGGGCAGTGAGCAAATGGCTTCAAGGCTCAGCGTGTGCACATGGGCATGTCTGCATGTGTTCACTCCTTGCAGAAATTTGGCCACCCAGGGAGAAACACCACATACAAAGCAGGTAGTCCTCATGCAGTGTGAACTGGGTTCGATTCAAGATTTCCCATTGTCACGAAGGTCCTGTGAGCCATGCAACATCCTCATGGGCCTCCTCCTCTGGCCTGGAGTGACTGCCTCCAGGGAGTTCATGCTACCCAGCCAAAACGTCAAGGAAGGTACCAATTAGTGTTAATTGTGGTGTACTTTGTTTCATGACCAGAGTTTGAGCTGAACAACACCCCCCCCAAAAATCAAACACAGGCTGCTGGCAACAGCTTTCCACCCTTCCTGAGCCAAGCCTAGATCTCTAATCTTAACAAGGCACAGACACTAGGTCTTGTACTGACATCAGAGACCACATTTTCCCTGGCTGCCCTCAGGCCCCTGTGAAGAGACATTTTCAGGTCAAACTAACAGGAGTCCTATTTTTGTCTTGCACTTAAGTTTACATTAAGCAACATTTCAGCCCCATTTCCTCTTCCCTCATAATTCCCCATTTACACCCTTTCAAATGGATTTACCTCTTCCTGTGCTTGTTCTCTACAGTCACTTGAGGGTACTATTTTATCATTTTTCTACCACCCAAACACTTAAAATTATGCTCATATCTTTTTTTTATATTTGCACATCACACATGCACATACCTTAGCAGCATGAATTCTTTTAATCTTTCAAAAACATTTCCTTTTTATTATCACCCAAATATTAAGCCAACTGGAAAGTGACACATCAAGGTTAGGAACGCAGTCTGCTCCTGACAAGGAAAAAATGCTGAGCTTCGCAAGGGTGTCTAAGTGGATTAAGATGCTTTTAAAGATTAGGTCACCCTTCACCCCAAATGCAGACTTCTACAGAAATTAATGAAAGCTCTTACAAAATGCACTGAAGGGATAACATTGTATGGCAAGACAGCAAACATATACCGCAGCCCACTCAAACCCAACTGTCCAAATCACCAGCTCCAAATAACAATTGACTAACAGAACCTATACTATGTGTTAACACAGCAGTATTTAATCTTGTAAAATTATGAACTGATGGGGAAAAAAAGACTGAGCTAGTAGTTCTCAGGAGAAAATCTTTGGCTATGATTCATCTGATGGGGCTGCATTGACAATATGCCAACAGAAAGGTTTGCCACGGGAGAATCCATACTGCCTCTGAAAGTCATGCTTTACACTTGAATAGCTCCTGCCAGCCCAGTCAGAAAGCTCTGGCAGTCTCAGCAGCTCCAGCCCTGGGGCTTGGTTTTCAGGATACAATTCAATAGAACACACTTTAAACATTGCCCAGCTAATAAACCACTTTGTATGGGATACCTGAGGGAAAAGCC